TCTTGGAGGCCAGAAAGAGTCTCACAATGCCTCACAGATGGCAGCACATTATCTAGCTTTTGCTTTTTGTTTGATCGACGCCTCTGAAAGGGCATGATGTGTTTTCCGCTAGATGGACATAGTTGTCCAATTTAGAGCTGTTAGAAAATTCCTGTGTGTTTTTAGCGGCGATGACTGCATTATCCCAGCCTTTTTCAACGTAGTTTCATGGCCTCCCAAATGCACCTACAAATCGCCGATTGGGCTTATTTTCGCCATGACACCTGTCGAACAAAATAGGTTAGGAGAGTTATTCTACAACATGGCATATATGTAGTTATTTATTCCCGAAGCAGCTGCAAGTAACAATGTGACTTTTCAGTAGGACACCTGCTTTACTGTGAATGCAACCTCGATAAAAAGCCAGTCTTTTGAAACGTGGAATCCAGCAACACCTTCTATACAAGAACATTTAATTTCTTCAGGATTTGATCTACCTGGGAATTTCGGACATTTCATGTAAACTGCAAAAAAACATTTTGGTGTGTACGAAGCGTATTGTGGAGCCATTCATTGATAGTCGCAGAAAGCATGACGTCACCTTGATGTTCGTGTGTTGATTAGCAGCTTTCTTTTGAAGTATGGCACGCTGTTGAACATGATCTGCTTTGCGAGATAGTTAGAAAAAGTGACAAAGTGAATTTATGTACGGAAAATACCTGCTTCAGCCGAAAAAAACATGAAAGCACAGTATGCTGCGTTGACAACTTGAAGTAGAAAAAAGTTCTTAAACCAAGTCAAAGGTGAGGAAGCTTCAACCTACTTTATCAGAATATGGGGCAGCAATTACGCGGTCAAATGTTCTAGTGAATACTATGCTTGAGATAGATACTGCGGAACCATAACTTTTTGTTATTACTTTTTTATTTTGTTCTACTAAGCATACGAAGTATTACAAATGTAATAATTTGGTATGGTCAACACTGCAACGCACACCGAGAAAGGCAACATTGTCATCGGCTTAAAGACTCAGTCGCACTATCCGTCCCGATATAAAAGCCTACTGACGAACACCGCTAACAATCAATGCTAAAGTACTGAAATAATCTTTGAGAACATCTTGAGTTTAACGTTTTGAAGAAATCCTTTGTATGCCCACAACATCTGTGAACACTGGTTCGCTGGGTCGCATTGCGGTGCATAAAAGTATGGCGTGGCCTGGAATATGCTGCCGAAAGTTTTAAGAAGTGAACACTGATAGCACCGAAGTTAATGTTAGAGCGTTTGAGACATATAATAAAAAAAGCGGATTGCGGGAAAAAAAAGTCTTTTCTATCATTTCATGTAGTGTACTTCTACGTAGCTGAATCCTCATTGACTTTCCTACTTATGCTTAAAACATCCGTTATGCTTATGCCTATAACATCGATTCCTATGATACGTAGGATCTGTGGAATGTTTTATTTTAAAATTTGGCATATTTTGGAAGTGGGTAAGTGCCCAGAAATGAGCAAGTGAAGATATATATTTGTGAACAATTTAAGCGAGCTCTGATGCTTACGTCAAACAGAACTATCACAAAGGCGGGTAAACTAAGGAAAGCACTGGTGTGAAAAAGATGAAAAGATGAAGCGTCACAGGCATTGGCTTTCCACCCGATCGGTATATTGTCCGCCTTGAATCAAATTAGAAGGGAAGAAGAATGGCGATTTGGGCTAGTTGGTTTGAATTCATAGTAATAAGGGCTGCAGCGCGAGCACGAATGTGCTAGAAGAAACAGACAAAGTCGAGGTACGGAAGGCAAAAGAGGTACGGAAGGCATACCTCTTTTGCCTTCCGTACCTCGACTTTGTCTGTTTCTTCTAGCACATTCGTGCTCGCGCTGCAGCCCTTATTAGAAGGGAAGAGTATCACGTACAAAATAGAAAAAAAAACTACGATGCTTCTGCGAAACAAGCATGTCTATTACGAATTTTAATATCTTCCCCGTGTCTTCCCAGAGAGCTATTACATAAACATTTGTTTTTGCTTATACCTTTCGGCGAACTTCATATCACGTGATATTTGGTTTACACGTTTGTGCAAATGCAGCAAGCTTTAATAGTTATTCACATGCGTACTAGAATGGGTGTGTTCCAAACAGTGGGACTGCTTGAATTATTGCCACGCAAGTAGCTGCATGAAAATGCTTGCTGCGGAAACAAACAATTTTGTAAACTATGTATTACATATGCGTAAAATTGGAAGACAGTGGCTGAAATGTACGCAAAAAACACGCATTCGATCCCCATCGCAGCGGTTGCGTCATTATCGAGACGCAAAATGGCCGCAAGGCTATGGAAATTTACAGAAACGTTTCCTATGGCGTGTATAAAAATCACATTGCAGTACTGTCAAAGCGAGACGAAGTAAATTACAAGTTTTTTTTTAACACAGAGTTGGTGTGGTGGTCCACAGGTTATGTCTATGTGAAATAGCACGCAAAACGATTGATTGATTGATTGATATGTGGGGTTTAACGTCCCAAAACCACTATATGATTATGAGAGACGCCGTAGTGGAGGGCTCCGGAAATTTCGACCACCTGGGGTTCTTTAACGTGCACCCAAATCTGAGCACACGGGCCTTACAACATTTCCGCCTCCATCGGAAATGCAGCCGCCGCAGCCGGGATTTGAACCCGCGACCTGCGGGTCAGCAGCCGAGTGCCTTATCCACTAGACCACCGCGGCGGGGCAGCGCGCAAAATGAGGACACCGAAAGAAACACACAAGAAACAGCACTGACGTACCCACAAATGCGCGTATTTGAGCAAGTTCGAATACGCGTCTTAACAAGTCAGGGACAGAAGGAAGATTAAAAAAATGGCAGCATATCCACGGACTGAATGATGGAGAGTGGGGCGAAGCATTTGTCCGTCCATGCGTCTGTCTGTGTGACCGTCCATGCGCCTGTTCGTGCGCCCGTCCCTGCGTTCGTTCATGCATCCGCCCCTGCGTCCGTTCATGCTTCCATCCATGCATCTGTCTGTGTGTCCGTTCGTCCATCTATTCAACACTCCAAGTCCCACCATCTCGCATCTTTTTATCATATATTCCCCATATATAAGCACCGCCATTCAGTGGACATTCCAAGGACTAAACGAGAGGTGGCACACGCACACTTTCTTACGGCTTGTGCTTCGGGTCTACTTCCCACCTTCAACCACTTTGAGTTGATGGTATATACTAGTTCACTGTATTCATGGCACTGCGGCCCAATGCTCGCTAAACCTTTCTAAAACCAAGGAGGTTACGCCCAGCGAGTATAACGTAGAAATCTTTTCCTGTCAGATAGTGCTCAATGTACATGCCAGTGGCTGCTAATGTGAAACGAGAAACAGGAGGATTCAGCTTTTAATTTCTTACGGCTTGCGCTTCGTATCTGCTTCCCCCCTTTAACCACCTCGCATTCATTCATGGTATATACTAGTTCATTGTATTCATGGCCCTGCGGCTCAACGCTCGCTAAACCTTTCTGAAACTAAGGAGGTTACACCCAGCCAGTATAATGTAGCAACCCTTTCTTGTCCCATGGTGCTCAATGTACATGCCAATGGCTGCTGAAGGGGATCGCAGCATGCGCGTTGACTAAAAGCCGAATGCTCCTGTCTCTCATTCCCCATTAGCAGCCATTGGCATGTACATTGAGCACTATTTTTCATTGTTAAACAACGCACTGAAAAAATCTCTCACCGGCACCACCTTGGAGGTCACATGTTATACCTATTTCGGGTATGGGTCACTGGTGGTTACGTACTACGACGGACGCACAAGCCACGCCATAAGGAGCTTCGCCCCTAAAAGGCGCATGCTCCCTACCCTAAATTTCGCATCTATTTAATGAAGCTGGTAGCTAATCTCCTTGTATGTTGATGCTATTGACGGTGCACTAACACATGCTGACCCCACATTACACTATAGGCTTCAAAAAGTTTTTAGAGCTCGTGCATTTCGATGGCGGAGAACAATGCTTGTCTGGTGGAAAAAAGGGGTTGCACCCACACCTTCAGCAATGTATCGCCGAATCGCTCCCTGCATTCGTTCCACGATTGCTGGCATGCTCTCGCACCCAGTCATTAGTACACCTGTTCACCTGACTGAGCCCCCATGAGACGTCGGGACACCGGTCCGCCTTACCCCGAGACCAGACGTCGGGATCTCGTATACCACTCATGTTTTGCAGGGGGAAAAGCGACTTGCACAATTTTTATGGTGCGAAATTTTTCAAGAACTTTCAGCGTTCACTCACTCGCAGAGGGACCTCAGTAGTATAGCAGCCGAGTAAATATTTCTGACTGCCATTTGTGCGGCCACTTTTTTCACCAAGTGGCAACGCCGCGCTGGTAGCTCATGACGGAAACATTGGTCGCGTCAACATGCGATGGGGTTTCTTGGAGACCTAGGTTTACGTAGAATATACTCTGCCAGTCCTGTCAGGATTTGTCCAGGAAAGCAGTAGCACCAAGCTCGAAACCATCCACTTTTAAAGTAAACCAGTTCTGGTACTTGACTAAAGACCCGGAAGTTGGGGGATCGACTCCCGGAAGCAGCCGTCAGATTTCTATGGCGGCAAGATGACAGCGGCCCGTCCACTTAAATTTATATGCTGAAAAACGCCATAGCGTTAAACCTTCCTAAAAACTCCGCTGCGGTGTCCCTCGCCATCATATCATTGTTTTGCGGACGTACAACGCCCAAATCGATTCTTTTGGAGTTTCGTTACGACGAAGATTCTGGTGAGATTGACAACTGCAATCATGTTGTTGGCTGTAATGTGAGGGTGAAATAAAAGCACTTGATAAGTCGAGACACAGCGCAATCGAATGTACAGCAGGTGTTAAGAAATGTACGTCGGCTACGGCGTTCTATCACCTATCTTGAATGCTATAATCTGTTGAGATCTTTTGCACAGATTATCTACAATACGTCAACGCGTTAAAAAGTATGCCGTTAGTGAAACGTGCACACTTGTGGCAGACACAGCGTGATAAGTATACGGCGTAGCGGCTCCGTTTAACAGACCCGGTGGTGCAAGTTAGTGGCGCACAAGCGTTGACCATTCTTTTGAAAGGTAAAGCCATAGCTGGAAGTCGTGTATAGTGTTCGTGATGGCATCTAAAGACTTGGACAGACTGTGCTCGTACCTCGCCAGCATGCAGGCCGATCAACTGTATTTCTTGGAGGATGAAACTTCTTTCGTCGTACTGCAGATCAGGGGAATGCCTGTGCATATGGCCGTCGCCAGTATCCGCGACCATATTGCCGCTATCCCGGGCTTAGAAAACCGCCTACGCTGCATATGTAGGATTTACGTGTGCCTCATGAAGAACAGTGTGATTGGTTCCTGGGTTCTCTATCACGTCAGTGCTACTCAAGCAGCAGATCAAGCGAATTTCATGATCAGTTGTTTAGAGAAGGCGGATTTCAACCGCGGCTTCATTCATTGGACGAGTGCAACGACAGAGTGTACGCTTATGTGCGCATTGGTGCAAGAAAGTGACACCCCGAATTCCGGCTTTGAAGTCTATTGCTTTTGTTTCTGGCCATCGCGGCCTTGTCTCGCAGTCTACAGACCGCCAGAAGGATATTCCGTTGGACAAAGGCAAGTTATGAGTCAGATACTGAAGGATGATTCATTAGCCTTCAAATGCGGCGTTTACGACGAACTTTATAAGGCGCACCTGGACGTCACTTCTCTGGGTGAAGATCAAGACGTGGAAGACGATGTCACTTCGTTCAGCCGACGCAGCCAGCTAAGACACTGAAGACATATTGCATTGTGAGTAAAAATATAGCGCTTCATGTAACGCTAATTCTGCTGCAGTCATGTGGTAATCTTGCTGTTCATGTAGCCCCCCTGAAAATTTTGTGAATACATTCAGAGAAAGTAGTGGCAAACATGGCATCACCTTGACAATAGAGGGTTGATTAGCAGTTTAGATTTGAAGCATGACGCCCCATTGCACATTTGCTGCTTTATAAGAACAAAAATGCAAATCGTCTTTGTGAGATGCTTGGTTCAGCGGAATAAATCCGAGAGCACAGTTTCTTGAAGTCGCGGCATTAATTTAAAAAAAAGCTGTTTAGCGGCGTCAACGGCGAGAAAGCTACTGTTGGCTTTATTGAAATATGTGGTTGTAATTACGTTGTAAAGCATACTATAGCGAATACTATGCTTGCGCTGGGTACTGCGAAACCATTACTTTTAATTAGTGAATATTCTATTTTCTTCTATCCAACAAAACACAAAGCAATAAATTTATTCAGATATTTAGTATGGTACTTTCCCAGCAGAACTAAGATTTCTGATTATCAGCTTTATTCATTGCATTGCTTTACTTTTCCAGGTTCGATGTGGAAGAAGGGCTCGCTTCACGAACTAGAAGAATCTTGTATTACCAGCAATACGACGCAGATCGAATAACGCAAGATTGTCATCAGCCTAAAAGATATGTCGAATTATCCTTCCAGATATGAAAGCGTTTTCACGAACATCGCTAGTAATGTTTGCAATAGTACTAAGATAACCACACAGAAGACCTTGACTTTCCCTAGTGAAAAAAAAATGCTTTGAATGCTCCTATCTGGAAACGCCGATTACTTCTATGGCGTTGTGGTGCATAAATGTTTGACGTGGCCAGCAATATGCGGCTGAAACTTTGACGAAATGAACGCCGTTACCACTGAAGGGGACGTTGGGGTTCTTTGAAACGTTGCAATAAAAGACCCGAATGAAAAAAAAAGCATTGTTCATTTTGTCATGTACTGTACACTTGTCTGAATTATTTCGAGTAATGGTATTTAACTATCCTGACAAACATAGGAGGTGACTTTAGGATGTTAATACATGGATGGTTGTGCGCTTGGTGTAGATGTTCAAACAATTTTTAGTCTATTAACAGCGGACAATAGCAGAATGGTCGCTCCCCTACTTCTTCCTTTTCCGGTTTCTTGCAGCGGTTTAAGAGTCGCTACATGCATATCAGCTTAAAGCAACCAATAAAATTATTCAAATGTGACAGCCAAAACTTTCTAATTCTTTTCGGGGATAGTATAAAGTTGTAACTAAGAACAAACTGAATTGGTTTTACAGTAGCCGCATCCATGGTTTCAAACAAAACCAGCGTGTCAGTCTGCGAAGCAAGGCAGCTGTTTCACGAGTTTTTTATGCTGCAGTAAGAACTCACTTTTATACTGCAGGAAGCACTCACTGCCAATTACACAATCGAGCATCGAGGCATGGCTGCACAGGCAAAGCACGCGTACCTCATTCGCTCACTGCGAAAGACATCCGAAAATTTTCATGTGTTGAGCATCGTCCAGTGAGGAACGATAGTGGATTGCATTGTGTGTCACTTTGTTATTATACCGAGAGGTGTACAATTAGACTATTGGAAGTAGTGCCTACAGAGAGGCAGCTCTTGTGGCTCGCTCATCCTCAAGAAGAAACACGGACAGGGCCGACTAAAAGACCAAGGGCCTTTAGGGCCGACACCGTCAAGGCGCCACCTTTTAGGACCATCGCTGCATGTGCAGGAAAACGGTGGTATCACTCTCGACCTCTTATCTTTACTCTGCGCTATCCTCCTCTGCACACACCCACACCTGCGATGAAACCATGGCCTCGCGGAATTAGGCGCGCTCATGTCCTCTCTTAGCCCTTATCATGCCTTTCGCACAAGTCTACACGCGTGTGAGTTCTTGCACACCGGGTGATTGTGGCAAACTCGTCCAATTTTTTCTTCTGAATGATGGTATATGAATATTTCGGCATAAACTGGGCAAATAGAAAGGCATCTGCGTGAATCACTGAAGCCAAGTCAGCTGGTTCTGTCCAAAAGAGCTATAAGAAAGGCTGGTAAATTAGTTAAAGAATGGTGCGCAAAATATGAAGTGGCACAGGCAGTCGCGTTTTGGCAGAGTAGTAGTAATTCGTGGTCTCTGTAAAGACGCACTATATGAGCACAACTTGAAAAAAAAGTACAATGTTTTTCTGGTACAAACATTCATGTCTATTAGACCTTTTCTTTTGCTTCCAGTTGATTGATCCCACGCTGCAGTTTCAATATCTCTCGTTTTTTTTTTTTTTTGGGGGGGGGGGGGGGGGGGGGGGTTCATACGTACCACCAACTGCGCAATCACGTGAAACTCGGTTTAACACGTTTTCGTAAATGTAGCGAGCGTGTATAAAACAGCCTGACTACTTTGATTATTGCCGTGTAAGTGGTTTCGTGGGCAGGCTTACTTCCACAGGAACATGTATATTGGGCAGGCATGTGGTACATACAGTAATATTAGAAGAGAATGGTTGCAATATTTTTTGAAAAACGGGTGTTCGATTACCACAGCAGCGGTAGTATTTACGCCGACCGCGAAACGATCCCAAGTTGGTTGAAGTTTCCGGAGCCCTCGGCTAATATTATTTGTGGTTCAACGTCCCCGAACCACAGTTTGATTATGAGAGATGCCGTAGTGGAGAGCTCTGAAAACAAGGCATCGGCCTACCTAAGCCTGGCCCACGGGCCGGTCTCTGGATTTCGGGCTACCTGGAACCAATGCAGACCTCCAGTTGTGGTTACGGTGCTAAAATGCTGATCGAAGGGTCTTCATTTTCATTTCGGCCATGGTGGTCGCATTTGGACTGTGTAAAGTCAGTGGACGCTAAAAAAGTGCACATTGGTTACATTTTTGGAGCCCTAAACATGCCCCAAGTAATAATATTTTTAGTATAATATTGTCATTGGCTGAAGCAATACTACATTTATTATAATAATATTATCCCATCTATCTATCTATCTATCTATCTATCTATCTATCTATCTGCCGAATCCCAATAATTTTATATTATCTAGTTGCCTATGTCCAGATGTTCTTGTGATTGCCTCATTAACTTGGGGTAGACTAAAATTGATGCGGTTGCGTAAGAAGGTTTCACGATATGTGTCGAAGGTCATACAGGAATAACGTAAAAATACTGTCGCGTACGTCGTCGAATTGAACTCAATCCCTCTGGAATAAGTCAGGTGCCCTAAGTACGTGGTGTCAGGTTTACTACCCTCTCTCCTGGTCCGATCCCATGACTATGAATATCTAAGTCTAATCACACGCTAGGCTACTTTGGCATAACTCTCCTTTTACACCATAATCAATAAATATATGCAGTTATTTATCACTTATATCCATCCTGCGTCAGAGTACAGCTCATGCATATGCGACTACGGTCGAATAGAAATATTGGGACACTAAAGCGTATATAAATTCGAGGTTGATTGTTGAAATAGTATTCCGGAATCCTCGTAGTGCTACTTCTGTGCAAAAAAAAAAGATGCTTATTTTAAGTGAAATCAAGTTACAGTGGTCTACATCCCGTTAGCGCATTTCAAATCAGCCGCCTCAAAGTGGTCTTTCGCACGTCGTTGTTGACATGCCCAACGAATCCCGCCTGCGTAGCTGCCGACAAAAGTAGCAGCCGAGCGAAAGTAGCGGGAGCCACGCAACTACAACAGCCACTGAATTTTTTTTCCGCTTGCTTGGTTCAACTAGGCCCCACTAGGTGAATCAACCTGCCTAGTCTAACCAACCGAACATTTTAAAGGAGCCCCGAAACACTTTTCAAAAGAAACCATGGAATAAATTCACTGGACGAGCTTATTGCCTCACAATTTCAACACCACAAAGACATTAAGAATTCGCCCAGTGAGAGTGGAGTTACAAAGATTCGTCCCATGAAGCGATCGAATTCTCTCTTCTCTCGCCCCGACGACAGCACTGGAAGCTAAGAAGGGAGAGATTGCAGGGGCAAAGAAAATACGTCAGCAAGCCTCGTAACCTTGAGCACTTCTTTCTTTTTTTTCTTTCAATTTGCGGCTTTTTCAGTGTGATCGCGCGCGCACGCGTAAGTGCACGTTGAAGAACCACAGGTGGTCTAAATCTGTAGAGCTCTTCCCTGTGGTGTCTCTCATAATCACATGATGGTTTTGGGACGTAAGACCCACATGTCGTCGATGATTGCCATGATTTACATTTCATGATCTTGCTGTTCTTGCGGTGGTTTTGTTCACATGACATGTTGCAGAACTGCTATGGTATGACATGATCGCATGGTGAGCACATGCGACTGATTCTAACATTAAAATCGTGACATGCGTGTCATGTAATATTATGACTACATGATACACTCATGATCCGCTCGCGCTCATTTCGCTAGCTTCGCGTATACCTAATTTCGTAATACGGGACGTGAATGGATGATGAAGCTATGTGACTGGGGCAGACAAAATATTCATGAGATGCGTGTCATGCAAAAACATGATTACATGCCATGCTCATGGTGCGCTCGCGGTCGTTTCGCTGGCTTCACATATACCAATATTGGTGTTGCGGGACGTGAATGGATGACGAAGGTATGTGACTGGTGCAAACATGATAAACATGAGATGCGTGTCATGTAACAACACGACTACGCGCTACGCTCACGATGCGCACGTGGCCGTTTCGCTAGCTTCATATGTACCAATTTCGGTATTTAGTGACGTGAATGTACGACAAATGTAAATGACACGTCCAAACATGATAATCATGAAATTAGTGTCATGTAACAACAAGACTACATGCCACACTCATGATGCGCTCGCGGCCGTTTTGCTAGCTTCACATATGCCCAATTTGGTATTACGTGACGCCAATGGACGAAGAAGGTTTGTGAGTGGTGCAAACATGGTAATTATGGGATTCGTGTCATGTGAGAACATGACTACATGCCGCACTCAAGGCGCCAGTACACTTGACGTGATCTTGTTCACGTGCGCGCCGGTGTTCGTTCCGTCGCATGACGCTAGTGATGCCACCACGCCAGGTGCCGATATGCCTGCCATATGCTTGCAGACGTGCGCCGCGCTGCGTTGCTTCGACGCATGCGCGCTTGAGTGCGCCCGACGTCTCCCTGGCACGAAGTGAGGCAGATGCGGTGCCGTCTGGGTAACTTGGTCGTCGCGAAATGCAGCGTGTCACATATCGCGCTGTTTATCGCCGGGCCGCACTGACGGACGCTGGTCACGCTTGGCGTCAGACAATAGAGTGCTCGCGTTTTGCTAGCGTAGCGTTGCTTCGTTCCGCGTGCGCGCGCATAAACGCTGCGTCGGAGTAATTAGACACGTTTGGTTGGGGGTACGCAACGAGCCTACGTACGCAGCGTGGCAAAGGAAGAGAAATGCGCATGCGCAGTACGTATCGTATTTATTCCATGGATGCGTGCGTAACCCCCCTCCCTTTCCCCACAAAAAAAAAACGCGGCATGCCTAAACGTGAGGACGAAGCGGAGTGTACGCGGTGTGACGCTCCCGCGATATTTCAATTGAAATAAGAACTAGATAGCGAAATTGCAGCGATGGCGTCAAATGCAGAGTGTGACAAAGCCGGCCCAAATCGAGTACATTTCACTTTGAGGGGCAATGTTGCGCTGCTAGTGTAAGTACAAACCAGCTATCCATTTAGGCATCCGGAACAAACCAACGTAAGCCATAGATCCAACATGATTCACTTGGCTTGGATGCTAGAGACCATTATGACGGCCGCTGCCACATGAGTGCGCTAAAAAGCACCCAAAAGCTGACTTATTTATAATAACATACGTCTAGTTGAACCAAACGTATCTCGGCACGGTCATTACGGTGAACTAAAAGTGTCGTTGAGCGATTCACTTGCAGCACTTCACTTGCAGCGTAGGCTCGTGACGTACGCCCAACTAAAAGTGTCTATTGAG